TATTGGGACTGGTAAGACAAATAGTTAATGGAAGATTATGTTTAAATGTACACAAAACAGAGCGAATCTGTTATTTATTGTCCCCTTTCACCGACTGATACATAAGCAAAAAGAAAACATTGCCACAGATTTTCAGTATCAATAAGAAAAATACTTGTATGCTTGTAATTTTACTGCCGCAAAAATTCCTTTATATTTTTAACATTGGGCTGATCTGAAAAACAGTCTCCTATATTCATTCAATAGGCATCAATAGCATCATACTTGGTACTCTGCTAGAGTGAAAATGTGGTCTCAGTTATAGTTAAGCCACAGTTACATGGAGGAGAATGTCAAGCTTAGGGACAGTGTTTTACCAGGGGCATCTCTTCAGACTACATAGTTTCATGCACAACACACAACACCAACAAAATGAGAGAGAGAGAGAGAGAGACAGACAGACAGACAGACACAGACACAGACACAGACACAGAGAGAGTTGCCTGCAATGAATCCTAAAACAGGCTGTTTCTAGCTACTGTTATAAACTGCAGTTCAAAAAGAGAAAGCACTACTGAAGTGTTAATTGTTTATTTTTAGTTGACTACAGAAAATAGGATATGATGCTTCCCTCAAAGCTATCATGGCCTTTTTCTTTCTTTCTGTGTATTATCTGACGAATCAGTTCAAAGAACCAACTGATACGATGAATGGAGAGGACGATGTGCATTCAGCAATCATTCATAAAAAATCTGAGAATTCTGCAACACTGCCTAACATTTGGAAATCTATGCCATGTTAGAAATCTAAGTAGAAACCCCTACACCATATTTGGACCCAATTCTTAATAGACCTCTGCTAATCAGTCCTCCTTGGGAAATTCCTCCCTTCCCAAAGAAATTTACTATACTTTGGAGAATGAGGCAAACTGCTAGTGGGGAGGCTACAATGCAGGCCATTCTACTTCCAGGAGGCACAGTCAGGAACTGAACTCCCAGCTGGCTCCTCTGACAACCACTGAGCTATCCAGTCAGCTATAATGGGGTGCATAAACTTTTTTAATCCCAGTGCCTCCATATTGAATAAACTTGATGAAGAGGCATACAAAATGACAAGTATCATAGTTCATAGTGCAAATTTCTATCTGGAAAAATGAGAATTCTTCAAGAGGTTCAGAAAATCCAAATTCATTGTAAGAAAAACTGAGCGAGTTCACAATCACTATCTGCAACAAAACACATGAAAGGAAAAATCCACTGGGATCACTTTCATCAGAATCATTTTTATTTTCCATTAAAAGACAAGAGGTACTTTCACATGAATCCAGTCTGAAGTGATACAATCCAGGAATGCATAGCTCCACTGGAGGTTATTTTTCTAGAGAGAACTTTTCAAATAGTAGTGTATGCCTTTCGCAAAGCAGAATGTCACAAGTCCCTCAGATTAAAAATACAATTACATGTTAACATTTTTCTCATTTGGCATATTTGCAAAAGTCATCCTGTTTCTTGATTTTTTTAAAGGAAATCCAATAAGTAGAGCTTTGCTAGAAATGGCATCATAAAAATACACAACACTCTAAAATATCTCAGTGAGCAACAGCACATCAGAGTGATCCATTAGCAACAAAAAACATTGCAACAACTTTTTAGCTCCAATATGCCACACTATATGTAAATCTAGTATTATATACAGTACACTAGCATCTTCATTAACTTTTAGTATATTTGAGTTTACCAGAAAATACTCATGACAACTTTCTTTTATGAAGTATCAATGATTATAGGAGATAAAATTGAAAAGTTGAAGCAAGCAATAGTAAATTACAGCTCATTTTGGTCTACAAATACGACAGTGCCATTCACTGACTGACTACTAACATAGCTTTGTAACTTATTGTGCCAACACTCATTCTGCAGTACAATATGCTAGGTAAAAAAGGGGTATATGAGTATATTCAGAGGTGGGGAAGTGGAGACTGGTTTCTTGCCTCTGCTTGCAGGCGCAGCTTACTGGTGCTGCCACTCCCAATCAAGGCAACACTTTTCCTGCAATTTCACTGCCTTGTCACCCAGCCTTTAGAGAATTCAGTGGACAGTGGCACAAGGAAGGAAGGAAGGAAGGAAGGAAGTGTTACATACAGCACTGATGTTACCTGTCTGTCATGGGTTTGGAGGGAAAGTTCCATCCTATGGGGAGTGGAAGGCGGGACATCAGGAGGAGGGGCTGTACTGTATATATATGTGGAGTTTGTGTGGAGAAGTTAGGAGAAGCTGGAGAAAGAAGCTGGAGGAAAAGCTGAGAGAAGAAGCTTGAGTGGGAGTCTGTGTGTCAGACAGGGTACTACTGTGTGTCAGTCAGTACCAA